AGAAATAAGGGAGGGCACACTGAATATTAGACTGATAACATGTCTTATCATGGAAATGTAGTCAAATAGCTGAACCAAGATACTAAGGTTACGCATTGAAAATAAACAAGAGTTGCCAGGATTGGTTGGTTTCAGTTTGGTTTTCCTTCAGGTTAATGCATTTTCCATAGGTGGTCCTAAACTTTTGCAAAGGACTGTATTTGATAGGCTGACTGACTTGTGACTAATTGATTGACTGACTGATTGACCAACTAATTGATTCTTTGATCGATTAGTTGATTGATAAAAATCATACCTAACAGTGCCAAGTAATTAATGTTGTTGTTCTCAATCAGTGGGAATGCTTGAAATTTCTCATCCACGATCCATTTGGTCAAACTCTCTTCAGTAACGCCATCCTCTGGAACTAACAACAAAATAATGTGCAGTGAAATCTTCCTGTTTATTCTTGAATGGAAATTGACCCAGTGTGAAGGAAACATCACCGGTCCCTGTATACCATTCATACTGAATGCAATCAAGGCAAATTGGTATTTAATGCGTCTCCAATAAATCACCAGCGATCAATATCTCCTTTTCATCGATTGGTTGGTACTCGTGTGCAATGTACTATGTCAAGGCTCTTGGCCACCGCATCGGCGTAATGAAGCAAGAGCTCAAGGGTCGCATGTCAGATCGGCAACAATCATGACAATGGCAACGTATCTGGAAGACCACTTTCAGACGACCCGATCGCTGAGGACAAACAAACAGACACAGCCTGAACCTCAAGTCTTGATTTGAGACCAGCTCAGCAACTCTCCGGACAGGTTTGGGTATTAGACCAGCCGAAAACGACCAACAGACACACAGGCAGACAGACAGAGAGACCAACCAGCGGACCTGCAGCCACCCGCTGCCAAAGACTCCTACTCACCTTCATATCGGTAATGTCTCTTATCTTTGAATACCATCAGAGTTGGCAGGTCTTTCGCTTCTAACCGCATGTCTTTAGGTAATACTTCGTTGGGCCCCTTGAAATAGAAGCTCTCTAGTATTTTACCCTCCGCCACTTTACTGTAAAGTTTCTGAAATGGAGACAAAAACACCAATTAATCATTCGATGCATCTCTGGAATGTCTGTCATTGAAGAGATGTTGGGCTTGGGTAAATGAAGGAGGATAAGACTCCTGTGAGAATCTGTCAGTGATCTTCAAGAAGGGATCAAATTCACCGCATTCTGATTCTAAAAGACGCCTTCGGGCAAAAGTTAGCCAACAATGTTACAGTGGTCGAGTCAGCCACTGTTTCGTTCAGAAAACTGTCACAAGCCTATTATCTGATGTCTCGCGTGAACTCTGACATGTAAGTGGATTTGTCTAAGTTGGCCGGGCGAACCTGATAAAGCTCGGCCGTGGAGGGGCTCGGATGTCTGCACTAGCAAGCAAGAGGATATGGGCTTGACGCCCACTTAAGCAAATCTGTGAAATTTCTCCCATGGTCTTGGAAAGAAGGAAGGATACAGTGCTCAGGAATGGTTTATCAGAGGCAATGACCTCTGTATGTGAAAATCGTTGTGTCAAATTTTCCACTTGGAATCACATCTTCAGTCACATTTTGTTTTACAAAAGCTGTACAAATTAACTGAGAGGCCGATGACAGGCTTCCCATGATGCCATCGGGCAGCCTTCACAGGAAGGGGCTCAGTGCCTTCAAGAAGCTGTGAATCATTTTTTGATTGGCCTTACATAGTCCCAGGCTTCCCCTTAAGTCCATGGAAATGTGCTCAGACTAGTCCGAGCACATTTCTAGGCTTTTTTCCTTTAAAGGTAAATTAACCACTTCCTGCTGGGGATTTCGGATCCGGACACGTATGCTTTATATGGGTGGGCGGGGTCTCCGAACTCGGACAAAGGGAACAGGGCCTTGTAACAAAAGACCGTACTCGGAACTAAAGACCAGGGCGGTTTGGGGCACTTAGAGCGAGTGGATTACCACTGGGGACAAAAGCGCTTCACCACCGCAGCGATAAGCCACACAGCACCACTGCACGCTAATCTGGCCGCTATTGAAAAGAGGTCAGCAGCGCACTGAGCCAGGTTCGTGAACAAAAGAAACTTATATAACACCGCACAATCTGGGCTCTTTTTACAAGGCTGCAGGCCTGGCTGAAATAGTTAGGCGTCAATAGATTTAGTCTGTCAGGCTAGAGTGGACACCAGACAGTCCTTCACGTGTTTGTAAGCGTCCAGTAAATAAAGATAAGAATTTTTAACGAATTTTGAAAAAAGAAAAAAAATGATAATTATCCCGGACCAGCATCATCAACATCGATAACTGCCCCCGGCAGCAAGTGGTTAATACTGCATTGTTGTCTTTCCTTGAGTTTTTTCTCAACTTCCAATTAGCAGGTTTGTCATCTTTGACAATAACTGACGGGTTGGGTCACGTGTAAATAAAACAAAAATCAAACTCACGCCTAACTCGGTCTCCTCATCCTGTTCACCGGTTACCAGGAGGTAGAAAACTTTGCGTTCCTTGAGTGCTTGCTTGTACTCGATGGCTTTGTTCATACTACGTACCGCTGGCCTGCGAGGTAGGCAGACACGGGAAAACAAAACACATCCGAGTGAGGACTTGGTCTGAGACTCTGGTAAACTCAGACTCCAACTCAGGAGACAAAGAGACATTTCAGGCTCTTGATTTGAGATTTTAGGACTTGCACTCAGGGCGTAGGACAATACAGTCAAACGCTGACAATGAGAACGCTGTTAGGACAACCAGGTCCAGATAAATTACCTGTTTAACCCT